AGCGAGTGTAAAAATTCATAAAAAGAAATAATAACAGAACAAGTAATCATTATTTCAATGTATCATGATACAGATGGCTCTCAAGAGCCAAATTCCCGTTGCTTTGTCATAGCTTGATCAAGTAGTAGTTCACACTTCGTCAACTTTCAAGTAAAGTAACCAGTCCAGTAGTACACCACTTTAACTTCAATTTCCGTCCACCAATCAAACCCCTTATCGGACCCGAACGACAAGATAACACGTGTGGTAATACTCGAGCATACCGATTAGTCGAGAAGATAATACTCCACTCGACAAAATAAGAGACCCAGGGTTTATTACCTAATTGACCAGATCCTTGCCGACTCGACTCGAGCAACTAGCCACAATGTTTTTGAAATTTTAGAGAGTGTACACATCATACACAAGTATATTAAGTCAATTCAACAAATAAACAAGTATATATCACATTAGGGAAAATACGATAAAGTACACCCTTGCCTGACCAAACCAAGCAAATATTATCTGATAAAGATCAATCATGTATTTGGAAGCACTCACCAAAGACTTAGTGCTTGTCAAAATCACGCTCAGGTACAATTTCTTTGTTGGAATCCAAATCTACGATAAAATATCATTTAAGAGTTTAAAATCCACTAGGATTCGAAACATAGGAGTTTCGCTTCAAGAAAATCAAGTAAATGAAACTTGTTTAAGTAGTAGTCATATGGCTTGGCAAACTCTAGAAAATTCATGCTCGCTCTTTTAGTTTCGATAAAGAAATGATTTATACTTTGGAAGTCGTACTTGGTATGAAAATCGAGAAAATCGTATTTTTAAGGGTCGCTACTATTACTTTTTAAAGGGTATGAGTTTCGACAAAAATTTCAAATTATGTACCTCTTACTAAAGAAAACTCGAATACCATAAACAATAGAAATTCGTTTCAACCTCGAGTCATCACTCAAGTCTCGAGTTCACTCGCCTAACTCTCGAGCAAAAATTTGGGCAGCATGCCCTTTGTATTTATCCATTTTCTCATCCAAGTACAACTTGGATTCACAAACCAACAAAACTTCAATCCAACAACAAGCGATAACTGACATACATCTATTCAAGGCCTTAAAACCAACTAAACAAACCAAATAATAAGCGTACCACCATGGACCAAAGCTGGAAACCAGTTTAAAGAAGAACTTATAAATGGCAGATTTGTCATTTTTAGGGCTTTTGGTCAAAACTATAGCTAGGTATATCGGATTGAGGTAAATTTTATGACATTTCGAATCTAAGACATAGACCTACAAAACAAGTGAGCGAGTCCTGGCGAGAGTTGGGCAAGCGGTTCGCTAAACTCTGGGGTATGCTCTAGGGAAAGGTGGGGTCGTCACAGGTGGTGTCAGAGCTCTGATCAAACTCGTGCCTGGAGAGGGTTCTCGGAATGTGGGATTGGCTTGTTAAGTGCGGAAGAAATGCCAATTGTTGGGGATATTAGATACGTATGTTGGGTAGAAATCTCAAAAGAGATTCATTTCCTCTTGAGACTGGCCAGATCGAGTGGTAAATTATCATATTTTCGGATTCTTGTACCTGAATACCAAAGAGTAATACCTTTATGATAAGTCGATATTTCGAATAATATTAGGATAAGTTTGGATAGCGAAAATCAAGGCACGGGGAATGCGAATAATCTAGATTTGAGATGTATTGAAAATATTAGTGAGAATTGGGACCCCTTAGTATGCAATTGTACATACCTGGTTGTACTTTTTCAAGTTTTGATTAAGCATAGTATTTGAACAATACCTGGGGTTAATATCCCATAGAATATGTGTATTGCTAAGATATATAGATAAATAAAATATGTTATTTTAAGTATACGTTATGATTTTTGTTTTATGATTTGAAAATGCTTTCATCGAGTTTTTAGTTAATTTATTTTGCTCATACCTATATCGTTTATTTTTCAAATGAGGCATGGAGAGTAAGCGAAATTGGGACCGTGGAGCTACCTGAGGACGCAGTTCTAGCCGTGGCCGTGGGGTTAAACAGGCACAAGAACCAGTACGGGAATCGAGACAGGAGAGAGGTGAAACGATTGAACCACAACCTGGACCCCGAGCTAAAGGGGGGGATCAGGTGGCAACGGCAATTTTACAAATGACCAATATCTTTACTCGACTGGTAGAGCAGCAGGGTCAAACCCCTGTTAATCAATTTGGGGACATGAAATGGGGCAAGATAGGGTTTTAGAGAGATTCCAAAAGTTTACTCATCTTAAATTTTTTAGAGGATCGGACCTTGAAATTGACGAGAGGTGGTTAGAGACGATGATCAATATTTTCGCTGCGTTAAACTATAAGGAGGATAGATAGGTGAATTTTGCTGTATTTCAATTTGAGAGACCAGTTAGAGCCTGGTGGAACGTAGTTAGGGCTAGGTGGGAGGGAGAGGGGACAACATGGACATAGTTGAATTTCGCACGGGAGTTTAATGAGAAGTATTTTCCATCGATAGTCCAGGAGAAGAGAGAAGATGATTTTATTAAGTTCTATCGGGGAACCCTTAGTGTCTCTGAGTATGAGACTCAGTTCACTATGTTATCTAAGTTTGTTCCCGATTTGATGGCTACGGAGCAAAGGAGGGAAAGGAGATTTGTACAGAACTCAATGTGGAAATACAGGAGGTCTTGGTAGCGGCACAAATTAATACGTTTGCGAAGGTTTTGGAGAAAGTCTAAAGAATAGAAATTGCCAGTGCACAAGTAAGGGTTTTTTATGCAAAAAGAAGGGATGCGCCTGCTGGAGGTCAAGGGCAGTTACATGGTGATCTAGGTATGTCACCCTTTGAGGTGAGTCGAGGAGTTGGTGGTGTATGAATTTTGGGGACACCTAAGAAAGTTACTCTGAGAGGTGCCTCACAAGAAGGTCAAACCCCAGCCCCTCACTTATCTTGTCGATATTGTGGGAAGACAAATCATACTGAAAATGATTGTTCTCAAAAGGCACGAAAATGTTTATGGTGTGGTAGTGCTGAGTACTAACTTGCAACCTGCTGCCGTAGGTCGAACTTAAACTTTAAATCAGCAAATGTAGGAGGAAATAAACTAGAGTGCCTGTCAGAGTATATACCTTAAACCACTAGCCAGTGCTCAACCCGTCTATAGTGGTAGAAGGTACGATTCGTATTTTTCATTGTTTGACTAAATTTTGGCTATGGTGAGACTTGGGAGCTAGAATCAGACAAGCAAGAAAAATATCCTGAGTTATTTATGAATAAATGTATGAATTTCGAGGTCAAAATTCTTTTAAGGGGGAGAGAGTGTGACGACTGGAAAATTCGCTCATATTTTCTTAAAATTTCCTCTTATTTTGATAAAATTACTTTATAATATCTTTACTACTCATTTACTTCCCCAATAGTTGTAATAAGTAATAGAATTAAGAGTTTTGTCCTTAGTTTTATAGTTAGGATAAATTAGAATTTTCGCGTATTTTGGTAGTGTGATTAATTGGGGAGGTGTGTGTACTAAATTTGGTGGATAAGAATGAGTATTAAATAAGAGGAAGTGTGTGATTAGAAGTGCTAATAATAAGTTAGTGAATCATAAGTTAAAACACAAGTACGAGAGAATTAAGGAAAATAGACTTGAACTGACATGCTCCGTTTGCTACCAGTTGAGTACTCCTCTTGACCAATTCTTTCTTATCCTAATCTCTTGATTTTATTTCATTTAATTTCCCTTAAATTACGCTTAAGTCAGCCACCAATAAATTACCCGAAATTTGTACTGCCGCCAAGGCCTCCTGTATTTCAACATTGAGTCCCTGTACAAATCTCCTTACCCTCCTTTGCTTCGTAGCTATCAATTCGGGAGTAAACTTAGATAATTTAGTGAATTGAGTCTCGCACTCAGAGACACTAAGGGTTTCCTGATGGAGTTTAATAAAATTATCCTCCCTCTTCTCCTGGACTATCGGTGGAAAATACTTCTCATTAAATTTCCGTGCAAAATTCAACCACGTCCATGCTGTCCCCTCTCTCTCCCACTTAGCCCTAACTACATTCTACCAGACTCTATCTGGTCTCTCAAATTGAAATACAGCTAAATTCACCTGCCTATTCTCCATATTATTTAAGGCAGCGAAAATATTGATCATCGTCTCTAACCACCTCTCGTCAACTTCAGGGTCCGGTCCTCTAAGAAATTTAAGATGAGTAAACTTTTGGAATCTCTCTAGGGCCCTATCTTGCGCCATTTCATGTCCCTAGATTGATTAACAGGGGTTTGACCCTGCTGCTCTACCAGTTGAGTAAGAATATTGGTCATTTGTAAAATTGCCGTTGTCACCCGATTCTCTCTTCAAATCGGGGTCTAGATTGTGGTTCAACCGTTTTACCTCTCTCGTCTCTCGGTTCCCATACTAGTTCTTGTGCCTGTCTAGCCCCACAGCCACGGTTAGAACTGCGTTCTCGAGTAGTTCCACAGTCCTAATTTCGTCTACCCTCCATGTCTCTTTTGGAAAATAGACGATATAGGTATGAGCAAAATAAAATAGCCATAAAATTCGATAAAAGTATTTTCAAATCATAAAATAAAAATCATAACGCATATTTAAAATAACATACTTTCTTTATCTATATATCATAGCAATTCACATATCTTTTGGGACATTAAACCCAAGTATTGCTCAAATACTGTACTTAATCAAAACTCGAAAAAGTACAACCAAGTATGTACACTTGCATACTAAGGGGTCCCAATTCTCACTAATATTTTCAAGAGTGAATGGCCCAAAAGGTCACTAAACTATTAAAAATGGCACCCTCTGATCATTAAACTTTTTTTGTGGCCGAAAAGGTCACTAAACTCGCAAAAACTCTCCAGCGAAGTCATTTTACCAAATTTCACCGGTTCCTCATCCGGTAACAGGGTCAATATGGAGTGGAGGAATATAGTAAAGGGGCAAAAATGTCAAACAAAATATGGTCAACCTTTTTTTCTCCCCTCCTCCTTTCTGCTGGAAATGCCGCACATCAGATAAGGTGACAGTTCCTTTTTCCGACTTCCTCTCTTTAGCATCAGGTAAGGAGGAAAACGGACGGCGGACGGGCAAAAAAAATGGACTCTGCTCTCTCTTCTTCTTCTTCCTTTCATGCTCCGCCACGTCTTGGTCCCTCTGGCATGAATCTACTACAAACCCATTACTCCAGCTCTTTCTTCTTCAACCCCATCCCCAACAGAAATCCCATCTCCACAGCCAATAGGCCCTCTTTGCTTTCAACTCAACAGCCATCAAGAAAGTTGCTTTGCATACCACCTGCTGGCAAGTATGTCAGAGAGGATTATCTTGTGGTAATATTCGGTACTCTTTTTTTGTAGCTGATTACATAGTACTGCTCTGTTAGTGGCTGGTTTCTTGGGATTAGGCGGTGCAGAGAATTCATTGTTTAGCATGCAACAACTACAAAGTGTTTTTTCTAGTATATTTTTCATTTTTGTCTTTTTTTTTCCTGCGAGAAAAAGGAAGCTTTTTTCGATGTTTTTCAGAGGCTTATTGGGTGGTTTTTTGTTTTGCTTCCTTTGTGTAGAAAAAACTGTCTGCTAAAGAAGTCCAAGATCTGGTGAAGGGGGAGAGAAATGTACCACTAATAATCGATTTCTACGCAACATGGTGCGGTCCCTGTATTTTGATGGCTCAAGAACTTGAAATGGTATGGATAGTAATTAGATTCAGCTTATATGTTAGCACAATGCCACTTCTTTTCTTTTTTTTTTTTTAAATTTCTCCTTGACTTTCTTGATTCATATCCTGATGAATCGGTTTATTGCGTCTTGCCATGAGTCATTGGACAGGATGAAATGGAAGGAGATTTGTCTTTCAACAAATGAAAAGAGGACTCAGCTAATTTCTAGATTTAAAGCACGACTTGCGAGAGACAAAAAGGTTGACCATATTTTGTTTGACATTTTTGCCCCTTTACTATATTCCTCCACTCCATATTGACCCTGTTACCGGATGAGGAACCGGTGAAATTCGGTAAAATGACTTCGCTGGAGAGTTTTTGCGAGTTTAGTGACCTTTTCGGCCACAAAAAAGTTTAGTGACCAGAGGGTGCCATTTTTAATAGTTTAGTGACCTTTTGGGCCATTCACTCTATTTTCAATATATCCCAAGTCCAAACTATTCGCATTCCCTGTGCCTTGGTTTTCGCCATACAGACTTATCCTAATATTATTCAAAATATCGACTTATCATAAAAGTATCACTCTTTGGTACTCGGGTACAAGAATTCGAATATATGATAATTCGCCACTCGAGCTGGACAATCTCAAGAGGAAATCAACTACTTTGGATATGCTTACCCAACATACATATCTAATGTCGCCAACAATAGACATTTCTTCCACATTTAACAAGCCAATCCCCACAGTCCGAGAACCCTCTTCCGGCACGAGCACGATCAGAACTCTGATACCACCTATGATGACCCCACCTTCCCCTAGGGTGTATTCCAGGGTTTAACGGACTGCCTGCCCAACTCTCGTCATGACCCGCTCACTCATTTCAAATAAAATTGTCGCGTCCCATTTTTTGAAATAATAATAAAAATAAAAGACGAGTTTAGAAAAAATGGCTTTTGATTCAAAAATGAAATTTTTGATTTAAAGAGAAAATGAAAACATGGGTCTAAATGGGACTTGAAAATGCGACAATTTGACCCAAAATATAGTTTGAAAAGGATTTTTTTGAATGAAAAATCGGAGTCGCTACTTGGTATAGAGTTAAGGTGTACCAAGTCACCTAAAAATGAATTTTTAAAGAAAAAAGTAGAAAACCCTTTTTAAACGACTCTAAGTCTACGAAAATCAGAAAAAAAAAAGATTTGGGAGTCACATTTAAAGAAAGGGAAGGCAAGGATAAGAATCCAAGGCACCCTTTCAACCTAGCCAAGGTTAGTTGCGTGATTCAGTCAAAGATTTTCTTATTTTAATCTAAAAATTTATCACATTTGGATGTACTACATGAATGCATACCCTAGACCTAAGAGGGTGTCGGGGGGTCGAAATGTATCTTCAAAACTTACTTGGTACCAATCACATTAATTGTGACGCCCAATAAAAACTTTTCGAAGAAGTCACGAATAATGCAAGTCATGAGACTCGAAAGAAAGAAAAAGTAAAGAAAATAATAATATACAAATGTGTATGACCTAAAGGAATGCATCATAATGGGTGCGGGGGACTTATGTTCGTGACTCAATTGTTCCCTTTAATAGAGGGAATATGAGCGTGCTAAGGCTAGAAAGCCAAATTTGTCCATATCCCATACGCAAGGGATTTTTTCTAGTCTAACCAAGCAAATGTACTAACCCAGGTCTAATGCTTAGATGGAATGCAAGTCTAATGTCATGTTTCATACAAAGGGGTAAGTAATATACATATAAGGGAAAATACGGGATATGGGATATAAATAGAAGAGAATGTGGGATAAAGGATATACTTATATAAGAAAGTGTCATGCAATATGATAAGAACCATAAAAAGTGAAAAAATATGCATGAGATGAAGTGATTTTATCACACAATCATGATCTAACGTGCGGATGGTTCCTAAGGGTCTAGCGTTGGACTAGTCCTTAACTAACGTTCTCTCACAAGCATTGGACTTGTAAGATCTCGAAGGAAAGACCATGACTAGCATTGGACTAGCCACGGTAACGTACATTCCATCCACGTAATCAGATATAATACTAAAAGCAAATAGGCATGCAAAACACATAATTTCACATAGCATGTAACACATAAGCATGCTTATCTAGATGCAGAAACCTAAGGAAAGCAATTAAACACATAGCATATAGGCGCGCACAAGCACATAGCATACAAGCCCTAGCTATTACAAAAGGGGATGCCTACTACAATCTAAGAGGGGAAACGAAATAAAATAAATAAAATAATAACCTAGCTATTACAACTTTGGCATTCAAGTGCCTTTCAAATGATCAAAATTGAACTAAAAATAAATATACAAACTAAAGCCAACAAAGAAAATAAATGAAATAAATAAATAAATAATAATAATAAACATTTAAGAGACATGCAATTAAACACGTAGAATCACATAGGGCACGTAGGGTCAAATAAAGTAAGAAATAAGGGATTAGGGTGTACCTCCCTTGAATTGGGTCCCTAATAGAGTAAAATTACTTATTTACCCTCCAAAATAAAAGAAAGGGTCAAGGCATCACTTTAATTAACAAATAATCACATAACTATGAAATTGAGCCATTAAAAGCATTTAAATAACCAAACAGTCCATATTCACAAAATGGGGATCCAATTGAAAGGAAAAGGAAAGTTTGAGGGATCAATTTGATTAATCTTTTCAATTGCTTGAACTATAGTGAAACAAGGGGAGACTTGAGGGCTGAAGTGTAATTTTTTGGAAAAATTATTCATGCAAGCTATGTTGATAGCTTTCTTCTTCACTAGTTTCTGATGCAATTCTTTTCCATCCAAACATTACCAACGGATCAACCAACCACAACTTGGGCAAATTAACAAGTTCACCCAACATGCTTTCCACTTTTTTACCATAAAACCTTAGGTATTAACACATAAGAAATCGAAGGAAAACCATGCATCTTCAGCAAGTTTCTGGAGCTTATCTGAAGCTTATCTGATGCTTTTTGACGTTAGCAAACTCCCATGACAGCGATAAAATTTGACAGCAACAAGGATTCAATCTCCAAGTTTAACATCAAAATGTAATGACAAACATAGAAATGAAAAGAAAAACAGAACTGGAAGGAAGCTTGCTCAAAATTATTCACTTTATTCTTACCAATCGGAGTTTTCAGCTAGACTACGGTATATCAGCTCCAATAAACAATTTGGAGTAGAAAGCTTTCCGCAACAACATTAACCACCAGATTTCATTTCTCTCAGAACATATTTAAAAAATGGATTTGAGAACAAAAACAAACCCACTGGGCTGCTATAGGGGACGAAAGACAGCAAAGAAAGACTCGGGTAACAAAACAGCTGTGAATATCAATGTAAGCTTACGAAGGGAATGGGATTTAGAACCAACAAGGAATGAAAATGATGCAGCTGTAACACAGGCTCTAACATCTCACCATCCTTGACCCATAAAAAGCCAAATCTTCCGAACATCAGATACCACCACAAAGAAAACGCACGGTCCATATTCCTTTCATTATTGGAGGAAGAAAAATGCAAAGCTGATGGCTTCTTAGGTTCACAAGCTTTCAATCACACAAATTCGAAACACACATTATAATCTACGCACAGCTACAAGATTTAGCCTTTTTACTCACAAATGAATCAACAAATTTTTGATGAAGATGAAACAAAATAGAGGCGGAAAAGTAGGTAGCAAAACAATAAACTTTCCCCAGGCCAGGTCACGAAATACATGCTTGAAGATTTCAAGAGTAGGTGTTTGAAGAATAACTTACAGTGCTCGGGCTTCCCTTCCTGGTTTCTAGCTTTCCCAAACTCTCCGATGGAACCCTCAGCTCTCGTTTCTTTCTAGCCTTTTCTTGCCCATCTGTTTTTCCTCTCTGATTCTCAGCCGTCGCCCCCTCACCCCCTTGAAACCTTAGCTTTCCCAGCTTTTTATAGGGAACCTTATCACCGAAACCTAGCATCTAAGGCACAGGAATAAACTCCATTCTTTTACATTATTTACAACCTTAGATCCTCATGGTTTCTGATAAACCTTGGATCATGCCAAGTGTTTTCTATTTAGATCATCAGACGGAGGAGAAAAAATGAGTCAAACAATGGAGCTAGAAAAATTTTTTGTGTATCTGCGTTTTGCAGAAAAAAAAATGAGGAAGGGTTTTGATGCTATGCTTCTCATGGTCCGTGAGCCTCTCCCTTTCTTTTTTTCATTTTCGTCATTTTCATTTTTTTTAATGAATCATTTAATTAAACCAAAATAACAATTTAAGTAAAAACTTGAATAAAATGAACAAAAACTAGGGACAAAAGATAAAAACAAAATGCTAAGATTTTTTTTGTGTTTGATTAATGATTTTTCCCTTTTTTTCTTTTTCCCAATTAATAAACAATAAACTTGAATCTAAAAGAAATAAAACATATTTTTTGTGAATGATTTTCTTTTTCCGATAAATTCTATGCTAAAATGACTTAAAAATAAAAGACTAAAAGTAAATAAAAGTAAATAAAAAATAATAGTATACAAAAATACCCTAAAAATTTGGTGTCTACAAAAATAGTTCACAACCTCAAGCGTAAATGGAATAACAGTTTTCAAGTTCGGAACGTACATGTACATTCATCTCTATTCCAAACATTCATATAATCTCAAATATAACAAAAGATATGAATTTCAGATACGTTCAATCCTAACCGAGCACTAGCACGAGTACAATTGCAAAAATTCAAAAACTAGACTATGTTAGTCTGTACCAGTCTTACGCCCTGGCTCGTACCCCCTGTAAGGAAAACAAATTTAACGGAATAGAGATTTAAACCTCTGTGAAAGTTCCAAAACTTCATGCAGACCCAAGTAACAAGTTGGCCATATGTAAAACTTGAACTATTAAAATGAGCGAGTGTAAAAGTTCATAAAAAGACGCAATATCACAACAAGTAATCATTATTTCAAAGTATAAGGATACAGATGGCTCTCAAGAGCCAAATTCCCATTGCTTCATCGTAACTTGATCAAGTAGTAGTTGACACTCCGTCAACTTTCAAGTAAAGTAACCAGTCTAGTAGTACACCAC